AACGCATATCCCATCCACTGACTTATGGTTTATAGTCATTATTTAATTTGTTATAATTATCAATAATTATTAAAGTTTTATTTTAATTTGACTATTAAAATAGTTGATAATAAGAAAAATTATTGATATTCATTATTTAATATATTAAAATTAATTTATAAATATTTTATTTTATTTTAAAAAAATTAAAAATTATTAAAATTATTAATAAATTAATCACCTTAAGAACTTGGATAGTTCCAATAACTTAGCCCATCCCCGTCGTAAAAAATTCCAGTAGTTCAAGAAAGGTTAAATGCTAATTTTGGTCCTTCAACTTTATAAAGTTGCATTTTTTTATCTCTCAACTCTAAGAACGCACAATTTTAATCTCTCCATTGGTTAAGTATGACGTGATAGTTAAATAATTTCATAATGACATTTTCTTTTAATTTTTTGATGATGTGTCAATGACATGTCTTATAATTTAGGTTACATGGACAAATAAAAACACCACATCAAATAAATATTTATATTTTTAATTAAATAAGAAGAAGAAGAAAACCTCTTGAATCATCTTCTTCCCTTCTTTCTCTTTCTTCCTCTTGCTTGGTGCTGGGTTTGGTCCTCTTGAATCATCTTCTTCCCTTCTTTCTTTCTCTTTCTTCCTCCTACTTGCTATTGGGTTCAATATCGAACCCAACTACTAGGTTCCAACCTAGATCTGCTTTACTTTGGGGTTTGGTTCAACGAAACCCAACTACGTTGGGTTCAACAAAACCTAACAACTGCGTTCCATCGAACCTAGCTCTATTGATATGAAGAAAAAAAAAAAAGCTGAGGGTTCCGCGAACCAAATATAAACTTTGTAGAAGAAGACAGGCAACGAACATGCAACTAGATTTGGGTTTGTTTGAACCCTAGATTGTTGGGTTTCGAGAAAGCTAAATCTAGGTTTGTTCAAACCCTAGATTACTGGGTTTTGAAACCCAAATCTCTAGGTCCTCCTCTTTTTTCTTTTCTTTTTTTTGTTGTATATCTATTGCTAATGAGCAATTGAGTTTATGCAAATTGCAAGTTGTGAGGGATTTTTAGGATCCTTTTGCTTCATATTTCCGAACTATTGTTGTTGACGACGACTTAAGATTTCAAAACAAATGAAAAATTAATATTTTATCATTATTAAGTGTGAAAAATATAAAAGAAAAGGGGAGTCACCACTCGTCCAAATTATAAGGTAGGACAAGTCACCTAAAACGGGTCTGCGCAGAGATCGGGGTTCAGGGATTCGGTTAGAAGTGAGGAAGGGCATACGCGCACCTCACAATCCTCCGTTTAAACACGGTTGCATACTTTAACATTGGGGGTTTTGATTCAACTTACTTATTACATTTATATTTGAGTTTTAATAAGTAAACTTGAAAAAAGAGATAAACCGAATCAAAACATTTTTTTATTTTTGGACTGAAATAGACAAAATCAAGAACATGCATGCACAATAAACACAAATAAAAATTAAATGGACTGATTTGATTAAAATAAAAATAAAGGATTGATTTGAAAATGTTTGAAACTTTTGGACTAAAGTGCTTGAACATGAAAGGATTGTGCGAAATTGAAATAAAAGAGATAACTTTTGATTTTTTTTACTTTTTAACCTTTTCAGTTTTTTTTTATTGGATTAAATCGGACTGACCCGACCCAAAACACAATTCAAGCATAAGAATAGACAAAAAGAAGATCAAACATGCAACCAAAGCGGGAAAACTAGGATTCATGTAATTTCCAGTAACAGCAACACATTCATCAAAAAATAAATTGAACAATTTTTTTTATTTTTGATTTTCATTGATTTTTAAACGGAACATGTACAAGCTTGAACATTAAACAAAAAGATGCAGAAACATCAACCAAAATAAGAAAAACATCCACGGCAGAGCTTTTTGGGTAAGATGGATCCATATCAAATAGGAGGGATCCCACCCACGGGACCACACCCACGGGACCAAGCTCCTATCGTCTCCTTCACCATCGTTCCCAGAAGGCTCCTTTGTTCAGAAATTACCTAGCAAAAGGAGACTGAAATATTGCCAGAATCAGCTCGGTTTTCTCCTCCCTCTTTTCTCCCGAAACTCAGAACAATGGCTCCCAAATCAAACTCCAACAATCAACCAAAGGCTCCCCAAATTCAAAAACCGACCCCCCCCCCTTTTCGGACTTCTGTAAAATGAAACACACAAAAGAACAACCACCCTTTTCTCCTCCTCAAAATCGCCCTCTACTACTCTTAAAACCCAAACAGAGATTCCCCAATCAAACTCCAAAAATCAACCCAAAGCAAACTCCCCCAACCAGCCCCCTTTTACTCTGTTTTTTGCTCTATATAGGTTAAATGCTAAATTTGGTCTCTTAACTTTACGAAATGCACATTTTTGATCCCTCAACAAAATTTTGCACTTTTTTGATCCCTCAACTATACGCAATGCACTCTGTTAGTCCTTCTATTAATTTGGGCCGTTAACTCGCCCATGTGGCATTTTTTATAATTTTTTGATGGCGTGGCAAAAACAAATTAAAAACGTGTTGACGTGTGAAATTTTTTTTCATTACAGCTCATGCCAAATCATATTATTACTATTTATATTTTTAAAAAATAAACTAAAAAAATTCTATCAATCTTCTTCCTCTTCTTCCTCAGGTCATCGAACCCAGTTTGCTGGGTTCGATGGAACCCAGCCTGAGTTCCACCGAACCCAACAGATCTGGGTTTGATGGAACCCATTTGCTGGGTTTGATGGAACCCATTTGCTGGGTTCACCGGAATCCAGTGGCTGGGTTCCACTGAACCCAGATCTGCTAGGTTCGATGGAACCCAGGCTGGGTTCCATAGAACCCAACTCCACCTTCTTTTTTTTTGTTTATATGGTTGTTTGTTAAGAGATTATCCAAATTGCATGTTGTTGTGAGGGATTTTTGGGCAATTGGTTTTTTTTTTTTGGTTATCTGATTGTTTGCCAAGAGATTATT